GCGGGACACTGTTTCTCACCAAAGCCTCTTCCCAGCCCAGTATCCCTCACCCAGAGAGAGCTGTGGAAAGTTTGTTCCCATTGACAGTCATCCCTTTCCTTGCAGCTTTTAATTTCTACTTTCTGTTTTCCTGCAGCTCCTGTGAATCCCCTTTCATGCATCCCTGCTCCCTCTCATGCCTCTACTCCCTGTTTGCTCAACACAACGCTCTCAGGCACAGGGTGCCTTTCTTCTTCAGCCTGCCCATCCTACTGGAAACCCTTTGAGATCTGGGGCTTGAAAGATGGGGAATGGAGGGTCTGTCTTCAGACCTGCCCTGCATTTGCCCTGCTTCTACATGTCTTGGTGTCTCCTGGCAGCCATTGGGCTACTGCAGTTGCCCTGGCCATTCTCCGGCCTGGGACATGTACTCTGTGGTGGCAGGTCAACTTGTCTTCCCTTTGGGTAGTGACACCGCATCTTGTTTCTTTTTCCTTTGAGGAGCTTGCTCTGGCCAAACTGAGTGGTCTGACTGTTTTTGAATGTAGTTGATACCTGTTGGGACTCTCCTGCCTTCCTCAGTCTATTCTGTCTAATTGCTGCCTAATTGCCCCTCTGGTCACTGCTGTGCTGACTCTCTTCATGCCATGAAGTGGTACCCTGGACCCCTCCTCAAGGGCAGCCTCGGCCTTGGGGTGGGAGCAGGCAGGAGATCTGCTCTCCACCTCTTCAAGGCTCAGATCACAGTCCCTGAGGACTTGGGGGATCTGCCATGGGTCAGGGGCTCACCTGGCATCTGTGCTGGCCCTGGGTGTCACTCAGGCACTGTTGTGTGAATTTGGACTCAAGTAGGTATCTGGAGCCCAGCCCTTGGACCAGGATCGCCAGCCCTGGCACACACCATGTGCCAGCTTTGTCTTAGGTCTGTCTGCAGTAACTCTCTGCCTGGAGCTACTGCTTCATCCCAATACAACTCTGCTCATTCATCTGGGCAGGCCACCATACACCAAGCTCGGGCTCAGGAGAGAGTTCCAGATGCTGTGACAATCAGAGTTTGTCCAAGTCAGAGGTGGCAGGTCTCTGGTGTGCTGGCTCCTGTTCTCTGGGACACTGGTGCTCATGAAAGTGGTAATTTTTTGAGTGAGTGCTGGAGAATATGGTGGAAAGTGAATTTTTAATTTGTGGGTCCCTGTGTGAAACACAGGCTGAGGAACTGGGAGGGGCTGCAGGAAAGAGAGGAGGCATTACTGGTGTAGTTCTGGAAAGAGGGATAGTGACAGGCAGAGGTGATCAGGTGCCATCAGGTCCAGCCTTGCTGCACCCAAGACTGCTTCACTTTGCTGACCAGCTTGGGACAAGGTGCAGGCACATCAAGGTGATTCATGGCTGGAGGCTGCAAGATGGATTGACTGAGGTTCTGGGTAAATTGATGGTGCCTGAGGAAAAGTAACCAGTATCTCATCACTGCAGAATATTTATGCTGTCCTGCTGCAGCTCCACTCTCCTTTGGAGGCAGCTGTTACTCCAGGTCTCACTGTGATCTAAGCAGACTCTAAGAAGTCACTGCAGAAATCCTCACTGTGGATGTCATCAGAAGTGAAGGCAGACCTGGGCTCCAAGCAGATTTTGCCTCCTCAGATACTTTTCCTTGCAAGGACCCAACTCTTTGAGCAATAAAAAGCCTGTAAAGTTGTGTCCAAGGAAATGAAAGGAAAGATCACACAGCACCAAGGAAAAGAGACCTGGCAAAATGTCCTGCCAAAGACTGGTCCGAGTGCTCAGGAAGAGGCAAGCTGTTTAGTTTGGAAAGCAAGATGCAGACGTAAAACCTGTCTGCCTAAGGAACAACCTGGGAACATGAACCCTTACATTACGGGGTTACAAAGGGTCAGTTTCCTGGCAGGGATCAGTTCCCATTGCCTTAAGATGCTGTGAAATGGAGATCAGAATGGAGCCATGTCCTGTACACCAGATACACAGATCAGGGCTGCCCAGCTGGGGTGGGATGGGACTAAGAAGAAGAGGTCAGACTATGTCGCACCAAAACCTGCCAAGCACTATCCTGCAGGCATTATCAGATTGATGTTATTGTCCTGGTCACAGGAAGATCCATAGGGCTCTGTGCATGCTGCTGCAGGGTCACTGCTCCTGAGGGCAGATGCTGTTTACCCTCAGCCCACTTCCTGGAGGAGAGGAAACCTCCAGAAGCAGGTGTCCTGCTCCTGGCTCCTTTGGGGCCAAGCAGCAGAAGTGGCTCAGGCAAGAGACAAGAGGAAGAGCAGGGTCCCTGCTCTGGTCCATTATCTGCAGGGTCAGGGCATGCTGAGCCACCCACCCCTAGTCCAGATATGATGCTCCAGCCAGCAGCATGGAGACCACCAAGCAGTGAACCCCACTATGTAAAGACAGGTTATGGGCACCATGGTCTCCAGTAGCTGCACCTCCCAGGGCCACCTGTGTGTGGCAGAACCACGAGGTGCCCTTGGCCACCCATTGCACCAGGTAAAAGCTGCAATGTCATCCCATGATCACCATTGCTTCATATCGCCACGCTTTGAGCCAACATGGGACATAGAGAGCTTTGTCTTTCTCTTTTGGATGGCAACAGAGCTCCAAAAAGCTGCTCCCTCCTTGCAGGGGGTGAGAAGTTCAGCTGAGACACCTCACTTGCTGTGAACTCTCTTAGGGTGATTGTAATGATAAGAGTGATGGTAGTGATGCTAATACTCTTAATTGTAACAGTTTGACTTTATCCAGCACTTTCCGTACACAACATTTTGTCCTTTACTTCCACAGTAATTCCATGGAAACCCCCCACCACTTAGGCCCTTAGAGATGCGTAGATTGTTTCTGAGCTTAAGATAAAAATGTCTTGCTGAAGAATTCCCCAGTCCCACAAGGGAAATGCAACCGCATCGCAACCGCTGTGACACTCAGGCTTGCTCTAACTGGTACGGCTTTGCACCGTGACGCTCCCGTGAGAGCTGAGGCACTCTCTCCTGATAGTGGTTTTTGCGAGCTCCAGCGTTATAGAGACCCTTTAGCAAACAGTGGAGGAGGAGGTGGATGTTGGATTGCTTTACTACACGTCATTTTCAACTGTTTATAATATTCTTCTGTGTCTACATATTTTCTCTGTGCACATTATTCATCAGAGTAAAAAAAGGAACTATGAAAACCTCGACCAACTTTCCTATGACAACAAGCGAGGACCCAAGGTATATATGCATGGAAATGCACGCCGCCCACCAACCTAACTAGCAAATGACAAATAGCCACAGCCACCAGAAAAATAAAATAAAAGAAAAATAAAAGAGAAAGAGAAAAAAAGAAAAGAAAAGAAAGAAAAAAAAAAAAAAAGATCCATGACTATGTTTCTTGGTAGCACGTTTTTATGTTGAGATAGCTTGGTTTGGACTTGAGAATGGAAACGTAGCCAGCTGACCCTGGAAGGATTTATTTTTGAAACATGCATGTGAACCAGTAATTAAATTGCAAGTTTTTCTTTTTAATTTTTTTTTTGGAAAGTTGAACCAACCCCCTTTCCTCCCCAAAGGAAACGGTTCCTTGGTGTAAGTTGCTCACTTCTACTCCCAAAGGTTAACCCTGTGCAATATGGGGTTTTTTTGTGTCATTTCCCATGTTTTTGAAAAACAACACTCGTTTGAGTTTTCAATTGCATTTCAAAGCCTTTTTCTCTTTCCTGTACAATGCACGCCTCTTTTTGGGTCTTGATTGACTTCAGTTTGCATGCACAGTGCAAAAAAAAAAAAAAGAAACCAAAACCAAAAAGTCAAAACCTTCTAAGAGAAAGAAAGGAAGGAAAGAAAGAAAAGAAAGAAAAGAAAAGGAAAAAAAACCAGAAAAAATAGCTATAACCAGCCTTATAGAGCAGACTTTTGTGCAGTTTAATGAATTCTCTTGACCCTTTTCTAGATAGCATGGCTCTCACAAGCAGTCTTAGGGCTCCCGCACTAACCAGCTTTGCTCACACCAATCACAGGCTGAGAAAGTGCTTCAGTTTGACCCGGGAACCAAAAATGTGACATCGCTGCTGCTGGAGGCAAAGGAGCTGGAGGCTCGAGTCATCATCCTCTCTGCCAGGTAATGCTGAGCCACCCCTACCCCTCCTTGCTCTGATGTCCTCACTCTTCCCTTTGCAACGCTGCCCAGCACTGCAGGCAGTGCAGATCTGGGGCTTGTCATCCTCGACGAGAGCATGAAAGAAAATCTACATAAAGCCTCATGTCCCAGGTGGGTGGTGGATGCTACTGGCCAGGGAACTTTGCAATCACGAGCATGGTGAAGATGTCTGGCTGTTCTTCAAAGTATTGGCAGTTGCAGTAGCAGTGGTAGTTAGTGGTCATCCTGATCCACCTTTGGAGGGGAGTCATATTGATCCTGTGCCTGTAGCTGGTGAACAACAAGGAGTGGGCCAGACTTGCAGTCTGGCATGCTCAGCAGTGCTGGGTACTGGGGTATTAGATGAAGTGGAGAGAAAGGTTCCCATTGCATCAAGGAATCAACCATTGCCCAAGAGAAGCAGTTGTCAAAGGAGGCTGCTTGGAGGGGATGTGCTTTCCCTGGCACTGCCACCCCACTGGGATGGATACAGGAGCAAAGGGGCCATCCAGCACCTGAAGCCACATTGCCATTCCCTTCTCGTTGCAGTGAGGATGATGCGGCTACGGTGTACAGATCAGCAGCCATGCTCAATATGACGGGTTCCGGCTACGTGTGGCTGGTGGGGGAACGGGAGATATCAGGCAATGCCCTGCGTTACGCCCCTGACGGTAGGCACCGGCCAGAGGAGCCTGTCCCACTGCCAGCCAGGCTGGAACGAGCAGCACCAGCTCTCCCGGGGACCCCTGGGGCTGGGGGACACAATGCCATGGTTGTCCTAAGTGAGGGGAGGGTCCCACACATTGCTGTCTGCTCCCCTTGCCCACAGCAGTCTGGCATTTTTGGCCATGCTGCCATGCTCCAAATCCAGCTCACTGGGGCTTTGCAAGCTGACCATCACCTGGGGGAAAGGCTTGGGCAACACAGTGGGGATAGAGCACAAAGTGTCCATGTAGCTGTCCCAGTCCACCTCCCACAGGCAGGATGCTGCCATCCCAGCACTGCTACAGCCACTTCCCCTGCCTGAAGCTCAGGAAACTGCCCAGCCACATCTGAGGGGTCCTCACCCCGTAACCACGTGCTTGCTGGTCTCTAAGCCCTGTGCATGGGAGTAACAGTGGAGTGGCCAGTGTGCCCATGGGTGATGATCTGCCTCCTCCCCTCTACTCATGGCAGGAGTGATCGGTTTGCAGCTCATCAACGGGAAGAATGAGTCAGCCCACATCAGTGACGCTGTCGCAGTGGTGGCCCAGGCCGTGCATGACTTGTTTGAGAAGGAGAACATCACAGATCCACCACGGGGCTGCGTGGGCAACACCAACATCTGGAAGACGGGACCCCTTTTCAAGAGGTATTTGAGAAGAGGTCCTGCTGGAGGCAGCAGAGGACCTCCTGGGGGAGAGCTGGAAAAGGTGGGAGCATGTGGAAAAGGTGCAGGAGGGCAACATGGAAGCCTTGTCCAGCATATTTGTCACTAAAGCTTTGGGGCATGTGGCACAGGACCGCTTGGACTCCACTGCATGATTTGGATGTGAATGCTACATCTCTGTTGAAAAACTAGGACACAGGCTCAGGCATTGGCACCAGTTTGATCCATGGCAAACCCATGCTCTCCTGGGCAATGCTTGGGCAGCTGGGATCAGTGTGGGCAAGGATGGTTCTAGAAAGAAGAGGTCTGGGGGCCAGGGTCTCTCCAGGCTGGATCGTAATTCTGTGGGTGGAAGAGGGGAGAAAGGAGAGTTTCTGCCACATCAGGGTAGGGGGATGTTGCTGTCAGACTGGAGCTCAGTGCTGCAGACACATTTCTTGCTGAACATTTTAGGGATGAGGCACAGGTCAGTATGCTGCAAAGCAAAATCTGGGGGCAAGAGGTCTCCATGCATGGGACAGGCTGCTCTCTGCTGTAGCAAACAGTGGTGCTGTGATTTTGGGTGTGGGGGTGTCAGCAGATCAGAGCATGCGTGTGTTGGATCCTGCTGCCATGGGCATGTGCTTCCTAGAACCCAGACCTTGTGCTGTGTGGGGTTTTGTGCTGCATCACTGCAGGTGCTGGAGTCACAACAGTCACTTCTGCAGACTGGGTCTGGGTAAAGCAGCAGTTCCCTTTGCAGCATGGCTCCTGCATGGAGGGCTGCAATCCGGCACCAGGGTGTTGCTGTTACCAGTGGGACCTCGTGCCAGGGGCTGCTCTCTGCAGACATCATTATGGCGCCTGTGGGATGCCCCTTTTGCAGATCTGGGTTCTGTTGAGCATGGGACCTACAAAGCCTGAAGATTATTTTAGAAGCATTTCTGGCATCCGCTGCAACAACACAATCTTTGCCATGAGTTGTTCAAATCTATTCTCTGTGGTGCACCACAAGGCTCTGGCAATTCTGTGTCTTCACTATTGTTTTTCCAGGGTTGGGGGACTGGTTCTCCTTTTGGTGGTGTATGTGCATGCCTGGGGGACTACCCAGGCTGCGATGGGCTGGTGCCAGACAGAAGCGACAGGAGGGGTAGCATGGAGAGAGCTCCTAAGGGACCCCCAGGGGAAGTTGTCCTTGGGTACTATGGGACAGATCATTCCTTAATGGAATGGGACTGATCTGGTGGAAAACAAGGGGCAATGACAACAGGTATGTTAGAGCAACATTTAGGAAGCTGACTTCATCCAGGAGGAGGACATGACCACAGGTGTATGAACAGATCATAGGTAGCCTTGGCTGGACTCCTATAGAGTAATGGGCATATGGCAGGCAACTGAAAGACAGCATTTAGCTTTCTGGTGCCTTCTTAGGTGCCCACACCAGAATTTCTAGGTTGGCCCCACTGTGATTCTCTCCATAGGGTGTTGATGTCTTCCAAGTACTCGGAGGGTGTCACCGGTCGGGTGGAATTCAATGAGGATGGGGACAGGAAGTTTGCCAACTACAGCATCATGAACCTGCAGAATCGGAAACTGGTCCAAGTTGGGATTTACAATGGCAGCCATGTACGTACAAGCCTGGGCAGGTTGGGTAGGAGGGGTGTGTGCACTGGCTGTCTACCTACGGCCTCACGTCTATCTCCTTCCTCTGGGATTTGATCACAGGTCCTGACCAATGACAGGAAGATTATCTGGCCAGGGGGAGAAACAGAGAAACCTCAAGGCTATCAGATGTCGACCAAGTTAAAGGTAACAGCAAGTGGCAGTAGGCATGGAAGGTCTCCTCAGCTCTCTGCATGCAGGGCTGTGACTTTGTCTGCTTCCTATTTCCACTGCAGCCTCTAAAGCTGTCAGTGGCATTTGCAAACCCAGAGCACCTGCTGTCCTGAAGAGGACATAGCAGAACTCATACAGTGGAGACCTCATAGCAGCCTTCCAGTATCTGAAGGGGACCTACAAAGATGCCAGAGACAGACTCTTCATGATGGACTGTGGCAATACGACAAAGGATGATGGGTTTAAACTTAAACAGGGGAAGTTCAATTAGATATAAGGATGCAATTCTTTACTCTGAGGGTGGTGAGGCACTGGCACAGGTTGCCAGTGGTGAATGCTCCATCCCTGCCAGTGTTCAAGGCCAGGCTGGACAGAGCCTTAGGTGACATGGTCTAATATGAGGTGTTCCTGCCCATGGCAGGGAGTTAGAACTAGATGATCTTGAGGTCCTTTCCAACCCAAACCATTCTATGATTCTAACTTGGAGAAGGTCCTGAAGGGCAGCCAGAGCTAGAGCACAGCTGCCAGCTGGAGACAAATGAGATAGGATGGCAGCATTCTTTGGTTTGGAAAGAAACAGCTGGGAAGAGGATATGAGAGAGAACACCAGGGAAGTGATGGAGGGATCAGGTGTTCACCATTCCTCATGGCTTGGGAGCCTGAGGGCACCTGGCACAGGTTTGCAGAAAATACAAGAATGGGCTCCTTTGGCCAAGGTATAGTTCAGATCTGGAGCTGCTGCTGCTCGGCAGTGCAGAGGCACAAGGAAAAAGGTTCCAAAGGAGATTAAACAAAACAGTGGAGAGTGGAAGGGCTGGTGGCTGCATTGTTGCGTCAGGAAATGCCTGAAGAATTGATGGCCAGAAGCTGAAGGTCACAGAGGGAGGAGGTGCCTCCACTCTTGCTTTGCTCCTCGTGCCCTTCCCTTAAGTGTAGTCCCTTCAGTGACTGGGTCCTAGGCAGCCTGGTCTTATCAGTGTGACCATTTATTTGTCCTCCTGTCCAGCATGGGAAATCACACATCCCCACTGGCAGTGAGCCCTTATTCCTGCAGAGGTGGAGCAGATTTGTTGAGATGCAGCTTTACTGAAAAGGTCCAGGACAGGACTGGAATATCTGCATCAGCTTGAGGCAGTGTGACAGTGTCTAGAAGCACTATTCCTGTCTATGTGGTGGCTTTGAGGCCAAGGTGAAAATGCCACAGGAGGAGGATGCTGATATGGCTGTTTCTCGTCCTCGTTGCACCGAAAGCAAATGTTCCCTGTGCCAAAGCCAGGTCCTGCTGCTGGGCCACATGGTCTCATGTGCTGAGATGGCAGCTGAGGAGGGCACCATGGCATTTTGGCCATGCTTACGTGGAGAGGGCAGCCCAGCTCCCCACCCACAGGAGCATTGCTCTGGAGGAGAACAAAGACAAGCGGGTGTTGTGCTTCACTTTGCAGATCGTGACGATCCACCAAGAACCCTTTGTATACGTGAAGCCCACACAAGCAGATGGGACATGTAGGGAGGAATTCACCATCAATGGAGATCCTGTGAAAAAGGTCTTTTGCACTGGACCCAATGAGACCATCCCAGGTAACTCAGGCTGTTGTGAGCACAGTGGCTCTCCCAGCCCACCCAGATGATGAAGGCTTCTGTCCCAAAAAAGGGTCCCAGGCAGGGTGCTCAGTCACACAGGAGGGCCAGAGGATGAGGAGCAGAAAGGTGACAGCACATTCAGCCCCCAAATATCCCCCTGTCAGCTCAGCCCCATAGTAGTGCTGTGCAGTGACTGGGCACTGGGACTCAGGTTTTTGACCCCAGTGGGTGGCTTTCTCACCCGTTCTCTTCTGGATGGGCTCCAGGGCTGGCTTTGGAGATTCCATACCAAGTTTCTGTCCATGTTCCAATTCTCTTTGGCTTGATCTCAAGCAGAAGAGAGAACCCTGAGGCACATTAGCTCTCACTGCATGGGTACTAACACCACTGATTTCAAACCATTTTGTTATGGCAAGCCTGTTTCAGGGTTAGGAGCAAGCACCTGGTGGGAGTGGGAGCTGCTTAGCAATGCCAAGCTTGCCCAAATCCACCTGATGTGCACTCCTGTGGCACATCACTCCTGTGCACAGATCCCCCCAGCCCTGAGCTGTGTCCTGCACTGTGTTCAACCGAATGGGTTCATGTCAGCAGTCCTCCAGCATGGACTCCATGCACCAAGCCTCTCTGACCCCTGTAGTGGGTTGGTAGCACCAACTCTCAGCCCACCTCACCAGGACATAGCAAAGGAATGAGAACCCTTTGCCCCAGCTTGTCAGCACCCATAGGCAATGGAGGCAGTGGGAGATGGTGGTCAAGGCAAATGGCCCTGCCTGAATAATGTGATTACATCTCGTATGAAACCAGAGCCATGCAGATGGCTGCTCTCACTGGGACAACCATGGGTCCTGCATGGGGTCCCTGGCAAAGGGCTGCCTGCATTTGTCACCCCCATTCTCTCCTGCCTACAGGCCGCCCCACCGTGGCACTGTGCTGCTACGGGTTCTGCATCGACCTGCTCATCCGGCTGGCAGGGGTGATGAACTTCACCTACGAGGTTCACCTGGTGGCTGATGGTAAATTTGGTACCCAAGAGCGGGTGAGTTTGTGCAGCCTGTGATATCTCTTTGCCTGTATTGTGTGTGTTGGAACATCCCCAGTCCCTTCTCCAGTGCAGGGGTGTTAGGGGAGGGCAGTGCCATGGGTTTAGGGGTCCTGGCTGTGGGGGGCAGGTGCCAGGGCATTGGGCTGATCCTGTGCTGGCTCCCTGGCAGGTTAACAACAGCAACAAGAAGGAGTGGAACGGGATGATGGGTGAGCTGCTGAGCGGCCAAGCGGACATGATTGTGGCTCCCCTCACCATCAACAACGAGCGGGCACAGTACATTGAGTTCTCAAAGCCCTTCAAGTACCAGGGTCTCACCATCCTTGTGAAGAAGGTACAGGCTGGGACGAGATGTTCTGTAGAACGGGGGAGGTGCCCCTTGTTCCTCAGCTTGCAGACATGTGCCATGCCTGCACCATGGCTGGCTCCCCCCACTGCAGCTTCCTGCCCACCCCAGGGCACCACTGCAAATCCCAGCCTTTGCTGCGGGTTTCCAGACTCAGCTATCCCATGCAGCAGAGCAGGAGGAGCTCAGAGCAGGGCAGGACCCCCTTGAGTGCAGTCGGGTGGGCTGGATGCAGGCATGATGGGTGCCAGCGCTGCTCACCTCTCTCCTCTGTGCTAGGAAATCCCCCGCAGCACCTTGGACTCATTCATGCAGCCTTTCCAGAGCACACTGTGGCTGCTGGTCGGGCTGTCTGTGCACGTGGTGGCAGTGATGTTGTATCTCTTAGACCGATTCAGGTGAGTGTGCTTTGGGTCACCCAAGGGCTGGAGGGGACAAGGGGGGATGGTCCTGGGAACTGTCCCTGGTCCCTGTAGTGTCTTGCTCAGGCACAGCCCTACAGCCCTTCAAGAGGCTCTCACCAGAGCTAAATATACTTTTCCTGCTCCACCAGCCCTGGGCTGAGGCTGCTAGTTTCTCTGGCTGTTTCTAAGCTGAGAGATATGGATATGTGGGGTACCTGGCACTTGGCTATGTGGGAACATGCCTGTCAGACCAGGTACCATGCTGATGTCCAACCAAGGGCAATGTCACCTCCTAGGCTCTGAGTTTGTCCCCTTCCTTGACCCCAAGACAGCTCCTCTGAAGGGCAGGGAGCCTGTTCCCACCTCAGCCCTATGTCTGGAAGCTTCTGTGGTCCATGTCACAGTGGGAGAGGCTTGAGCTGGTCAGGATGAAATGATCTTTCTGGCCTGGAGAGAAGCATGATGGGACCAGCACCAGCGTGAGCTGTGCAGGGCTGCACATTGGCAGAGGGTACATGCAAGGCAGAGGGAGAAGAGCTGTTTGGGGCATAGGCACATTCTGTAGAGATGAGTGACGCAGGGCAGCATCGGGATATTGTGGCACAGTGGAGAGCCCTGGGAACTGGGATGAAGGATATGAGAAGTGATTCTTGTTTTCCAGCCCATTTGGCCGGTTCAAAGTGAACAGTGAGGAGGAGGAGGAAGATGCCCTGACCCTGTCCTCAGCCATGTGGTTCTCCTGGGGAGTCCTGCTGAAAAAACACACACAGCAGGACTGCTCTGCCTTGCAGCCCCATCCCTGAGCTGGAAGGACACATATCCTCTTCCCCTGCCTCTCTCTGTAGTAGGGCTGATGCCTGTGAGGACCTCATCCCCTGAGCCTTCCCTGGAGCAGGCTGGGAGGAGACTTGGTGATGGGGAGGGGGGGGTGTGTGTGTGTGTGACACGCCTGTGGCACTTGTGCAGACCATCACTGATGGGAAATGGCTCTTTCCTGGTCTGCTTCTCCTGCCCAGGGTTACCCACACAGCAGGGTGAGGCACATCATGCCCTGGAAGGAGCTGAGTTTCATGGTTTGGGCAACACGGAAGCTCCTTGCAGAGCTGTCAGCAGCGAGATGGTGCACATTTGCAGCTGCCATTGGTTTCATGTGAGATGGACACAGCTTTGGTGACCAAGTCAAGCCCTTATCATGCCAATCTGATCTCTCCTCTGTCCCTCCAGGTGCTCCCCGGAGTTTCTCTGCCCGTATTCTTGGCATGGTGTGGGCTGGCTTTGCTATGATTATTGTGGCTTCATACACTGCCAACCTGGCAGCCTTCCTGGTGTTAGACAGGCCTGAGGAGAGAATTACAGGCATCAACGACCCCCGGGTAATGACCTCTCGCTTGCTTTCATCCCCTGCCCATCTCTGAGCAGAGGTGCCTCCAGTGGGTATCTCCTGACTCACATAATGTGGCTTGTAGTACCCAGAGCCCTCCTTTAACATGGCTGTGGGTCTGTGCCAGGGGGTTCAGCCCCTGGTGTCTCTGCCTGGTGCTGATGCTGGTGGGTCTGAGCCCCTGTGCTGGGTGAGAATGGACAGACATGGGGAGGGATCAGC